TCTCTCTCTCTCTCTCTCTCTCTCTCTCTCTCTCTCTCTCTCTCTCTCTCTCCCTCTCCCCCCCCCCCGCCCCTCAATTCAGAGCCCTTAGGCTCTATTTCTGAATTTAAGGGGAAAGAAGTGTTCTATCTTGTGAAAAACCCAAATCACTCAAGGTGACTCCTTAAAGCAGTCACTACAGATCCCAGAATGTTGCTTCTCCTTCTCAGGTCAGCATTTTCATATTTTAGTCCTGGAAGAGCGATAGAAACCATCCCACAGTTGTTTCCTTACCTCTAGTGATGTCAGAGTTGGAATAAGAGTACCAGCCTCTGTGCTGTTTCCGTCTTGCCCTTCATCAAGTATTTGTAATAATTTGGAAAATTTTTCTTGCCTTTCTTGGGGGAAATCTCTTAAATGATTATAATGTTACCTCTAGGAAGATGTCAATTTAGTCTTTAGTTATTTCCATAATATCCAGCAGTTTTAAAACCAAGTTCTTTTTTATTTATTGCAAACTCTTCTTCTATTTCATTTTAAAAAGTTGTTTGGCCCAATTGGTGATAACATTCACAATTCTCCTCAAAGGATTCCAGAGCTTTATAACAGGGAAAAAAATGCTACAAGTCTTCAAAAGTGCTCACAGCACAAAAATAGTATATAGACAATGAAGATTGGGGGTATGTTTTGGTTTTTATTGTTCCCTAATCCTGAACGTCATTGAGCTTAAAAGCTTTTTCTTTTAATCCAAGATTTTAGAATTCAGCCAAATTCCGTAAAATAGATTAATAAGACAGCTCTTGCATGCTGCCTCGTAACGAAACGTCTGTATTTAAGTAAGATAGCTCACTAAATTCTTACAGTATTAGAGAAATTATTCAAATTCTAAAATTGCTTCCAATCTTTTCTTTCATCTAAATGACAATGTCAGAGGTCAGTTACCAGGTAAGAAGTAAGCAGAGTACTATTTAGTGAAATGCCTGTAATTTATGCCTCCATAATAGGTTGAGGAGAAAGCTTTTATTATTTGCATAATGTCAGTTTACGATTTAAATTTCTTCTTTTGAAATAGGTATATATGTTTTTTGGGCTTTTAACTTGGTTTTTACAGCTTTATTTCACTCTTCTTCCTGCCATTAAAATGCATATCTAAAATGTATTAATTCCATAGTTTACCATAGAAATAGGTAAATTAATTCAAGTGTCCAAATTATACGGTATTTTTCATGGGTTCTACATAAAAATATAGAAACTTAGCATTTAGTTCTGCTTGTATTTGTGTATTCTGTGTTACTTTGAAATTGCCATATGTCAAGTTTTTTTTTTTTTATACAGCATTTTTTGTCCTCAAGAAAATACTGAAGAAGCCCTTTTGTTATTGCTGATTAGTGAATCAATGGTGAGTGGAATGTATTTTTACACTGTTCTTTCCCTTGTCCCTGTAGTCCCTTTTTTGATATGGCCATTTCCTCAGTATGGTGACTTTATTTTCTTGGGGGAAAATACTTTCTAGAGGGCATACCTGGATGGGAAAAGACAGCAGAGGTTTAAAAAGAAGGGTATTTCTCAATTCTTGAACTAGGTAGCAGTGTCCCTCGGTCAGCCTGGAGGTTGGAGCTTCTCCTATAGCAGTTAGCAGGTATCTTAGTTCATTCATTCATTCACCAAGTATTGGCTGAACACTAACACAATTGTATGTAGGGAAATTACAGCTAAAATGACTACCAAAGGTACTTAAAAAGGGGAAAGAAGTTCCCAAAGGGTTACTTTTACAAGCCTTCTTTATTTGCCCTTGCGTGAAGGAGAATTTGGGGATAAATCGCCTGTTAGATATATGAACCTCTGGTTTTCATAGCAGGGGCCTTATGAAACTGCCTAATCCTCTTGCAAGAACATCTCTGCCAGCTCCCAGCTGTTCCAGGCATTGCAGAGTCCCAAGCTGTGAGAGCTCACTCCTGTTACCTGGCTCTGCTGTTGTGAGAGAGTTTTTGCCAGACCATCAGATTCCTTTGAAATGTTTTCTTAGTGTTTGGCCTGGGTATCAGATTTTAAGTCTAAAATTGTATCGCTCATCATTTATTGGGTTTCTCATTTGTATATCACTAGGCTTTATGGCCTCCACTTCAAACCTTCAGAAGTAATGTGTGTTGTAGTAGTTACTACCCCAGCAGTAAATGATGCGTACTGAGTACCCGAGCAGAATAGCAGGCTCCTGGGACTCAAAAGGACCTAGAGGACCTCATGCCCATTTACCTCATTTTACAGACGAGGAACCTGAGGCCCAGAGTAGGCAAAATGCATACATCATGCAGTGGTCTACAGCTCCTTCTAGTAGATTGTAGTAGCCGCCTCCCTATCCCCATAGCTTCCACCCCACCAGGCAGGCAGGAGGAGAAAAGGAATGGTAACTAAAGCAAGAGAAGGTATTTCCCTTCTTCCCCTTCCAAAGTAATACTGTTTAATTGGAGGTATGAAATACACTCAGGGGAAAAGTAGAAATGAGCACAAGAAGACTGTATGTGCTGAGAGGAGGGATCAGAAGAGGCTAGGATTGGTCAGGGAGGGTAGCTCTCTTGCCTCAGTTTAAAACTTTGGGTCTTCTTGTTCTGTGGAATGGCCCAGAGATGTTTACAAGAGCAAGGCTGCTTGAGTTACCTCTTCTTTTTACTTGGAAGCTCTTTGGTGTCATTGGGCTTACATCCTCTCAAGGAAACATGTTGCGCCGTGGCTCATCTTGCCTTGACCGTCAGCTGGTAACTTAGGAAGGTGTCATTTACATTCTCTGTGGTTCTTTGGTGTGATCAGGGAAGGCACATAGGTGAGTGGTGTGCACTTGGTGGTATTCACGTGAACAAGTCTCACTGTGCTCCGTCACCAGCTCACTGATGGGGGCCAGCTCATGTTGGCCTCGTAGCTGACATTCCCTTATTCCAAACTGGACTCTTCACAGCTTGGCAGTCAGTTTCCTTTGGGTGAACTTGGTTGATTATGATGTAAAAGTTCTCAAAGCGCAGTGAACATACAGTTTAGATTACTTGGACAATTCTGATTGAATATATTGTGTTTCATTGTTGGATCATATGTTCCAGTTCGAAATTTGGAAAACAGCCGCATCCCTAAAATGCTTGCTCCAAGTGTAGGTGTCTTTGGAATGACGTCTCCAACTCTCCTACTCCTTAAGTGAAGTGATAGAAACTAATAGTACTTAAAGTTGAGATCCCTTTGAGACAGTGAGATTTGGCTCTGTGATATTTAATTTCCGGGAAAACCTCTTCAGGGGATGGGAAAACCCAGTGACGTCATCAGTAAATATGAAGGACGGGGTTTCCAACCAAAATGATTCTGTTCTCCCTGTAAATCATTCCGTCGTTACATAGGTAGAAATCTAAATTAAGTTGCCTCTGGAAGCCTTTTTTCTCATATCTTTTGACTCCTTGATTTTTTTTTAGTTTTTAGACAGAAAACGAATGGGCTCGATTTCAAAACCAGAGTGAAAATTGCTTTTTGGATATCTTAGAAAAATGTATTCTACATTGATTATGACTTTAACTTAGAAGCATGAATTTGTCCATAGTCTCTCCACGTGCAAGAAATTTTAATACTTTCTCATTGAAAATGAAATTCATTCCCCCAGGAGAAAGGGATTATCAGAACTATATTTGCACAACTATCATTGAGACAGTATTCTGGGATATTCATTATTTGTGGATCTGTTTGAGGTTCTATACTATACCTTTTTGATCAAAGGATATGATTCTTTTTCTAAAAATATTTTTAAAAGAATGCATTTGGTCTGACTTAAAAACCTCTCATAAATAGTATTTGTTTTGTTCTCTTACAGGCATTGGTCTCAATATGGAATATTTATAGCAGATAAATATTTAACGAGTTTTAACGAGACCATTTACAGCAGGCCCTATTTCCAGAGCTTTTTTGTTGGGCCCAAAAGACACTCCTAACAAGAAAAACTTAGAATGAAATCTTCAAAAGCAGGCTTGTTTCCATAAGAGATGACTCACTTTGTAGGAAGTGGCCTGTCTTATATATTCTTATTTGTCTTTGACATTTAAGAGCAAGGAGTTTTAAAGTGAGTAAGTACTGATGGGTGACTAAAAGTAAATGCCTTGGACTCACACAAAAAGAAAGCATCTTGTCTCAGTGAGAGGGAAGGTGTGTGCGTGGCCTTTCTGAATGTCAGGCAGGAAGATAAACATCAGACTGCCAGGACAAGTGACCTTGGAACCTCATGTACCACTTTCACAGGAAAGACTGAGGGGCCCTTTCTCTGCTCCTTGGGATAGATGGACCTGGAGACTTCTGTTAATTAGCAGGGGGAAAAAGGCAGACAAAATCTAACTTTATTAATTCTGAACTCCCTATTAGGGAGGAAAGGGAAATGAGCTAGCTGTTGAGTCTCTGATATGTGTGATATATCTGGATGAATCTATAGAGAAATTAAATTTCAGAAGTAATGAAAACAAGTTGTTGTAAAGAGCATTTGATTTCTGGATAAATGAGATTAATGAACTTGAATGTGCCTGATGTATTTCTGTGCTAAGCCGTGGAGATGTAAAATTGGCAAGGTATTCTCTTGAGTCCTCTGTGGTAGTATCTTTTAAAGTAAAAATCTGCTTGCCCCTCGCTTTCTCTTATGCTTCTGTTTTGTGCTTCCCTAAACAAGATTGAATTAGTCTTTGTGATCTGTTCCAGTGAAGATGTCATATAGGGATTTGAACGTAGCTTGGCAATAGAGGAAAAGTATGATATCTCTCCGTAGGACTGATGGAACTTGATGGCAGAGCTGGGAATCTTCTCCCACTCTTTAATATGGAGCAGAAGCAGGATCTACAAGGGAGACACAGCAGGGGCTCACTTGATGGATAATGGTGCTGCCCCAGACCACAGCTGTGTCTGCCACCAGGATGGCTGTGAACTTGAGGCCAGGGTAACAAATTCCCCCTGCTTTGCATCAGCACCTAAAGCTTCCTCCAAATGCCTACCAACAGGTACAGGTGCCTTCTAGGTTCACACCTCCAGGACTGCAGTGTTTGGGTCACACAATATACCATGTGTGCAGTGCTCTGAGGATTTTGACTAAATGACCTGAGGTGACAAGCCCCTTTACTTACTCCTGCTCCCATCTCTAGCCCATTGGCTAACTGTAGGGACAGGAGGGCTAGGTGGCTTCTCTACTGAGCAGTGACAGCCATGTGCATGGGCTGGGTCACCATCTGCTTCTCTTTTCCATGTTGTTTTCAGGCCAACCGGGACGCTGTGCTGAGCAGGATCCCTGAGCACAAGAGCGACCGCCTCATCAGTCTGCAGAGTGCGTCTGTAGTCTATGATTTGCTGACCATTGCTCTTGGAAGAAGAGGCCAGTATGAGATGCTGTCGGAGGTATAGCTGCTGAGTCTGGTTGACTTCCAGGTGGTGGGTGGTGGTGGCAAGCTGACCCCAGGGAAGAGCTATGAGACCTGGTCCTGGGCCCCCCTTGATCACTGGCAGCCATGTGACCTTGGGCCAGTCATTTAACTTTGGTTTCCTCCTCTGTAAAATGGGCATTGGGCTAAATGATTAGGTCGTAGATTGATCGACAGTCTCTTACTACCAGTAGTCCATAACCCACCAGGCTGTGGGTTTCCATTCCAGGCCAGTGTAATTTCCATCATAACAAGAAATCTCCCATTTGTGATATTAATTTCCTCATAAAATAGGTTTTGTTTAATATCACTGCCTAACTCCTGGTGAAATGGTGCTTTCAGGCACAGTGTGCCATCGGGCTAGCTGGTGTAGATCGTTTCTTGTAAAGTAAACACTGTCTTCATTTGGAGCCTTTTACCTGTTCAGAAGGGACCCTAGCAAATTCTAGTTTTTGTGTAAGGCACCATCATCTCCTCATTCCCTTAGCTTCTAAAAAGCATTTAGAGTGCAAGCTTGACTGTTTCACAGTTTCAAAAGAAGCTGGTTAATGTTGGGCTATGGTTATGCGTTATTAAGTTGCTGCCCAGAATACCAGATTCCACCACCATAAGGCTAAATAAGTAACGAGATCATTTTATCTTTTCTTTTGCAAAATAGAAAGAAAGAGAAAGAACTAGACTATTTCGCTAAAATGAATGTTTCCACGTTATTTATCTTTCTCTTTCTAAATTTATACCCATTGCAACAGCCTCTGGGCACGAGGACAGGGAATGAAATACAGTAACAGATTGGCTGACATCAGATAAAGTGCCCAACTCACCCTCTAGCCTGCCGGTGCCTCGCCACATTAGGCAGGAGCCTTGGGGAACAGATGAGCCTGTGTGCTTGAAGCTTTTTTTAGTCTTTGGCTTGGTGACTGTACAGGGCAATGGTTACTCAGCTCAAAAACAAAAACCCCTCACTATCCAGCTAGATAAAGCAGTGTGTCCATATGGCACACTCTTGGGGCTCTGTCCAGACCTGGGATTGGCTCGGATTGTTCAGCACTGGACAGGTTCGAGCCCTCCCCGGGTGCCTTGATTTCCTGGGTCCCCTCTCTTCCCAACCAGCTCAGTTTGTGTCAGCTGTATCCACTGCGCAGCCCCAGTGTGGGGACAGTGCCACCAGCTCACAGCTGAGTTCTTTTAAGGTGAACTTTTTTCTTCCAGACAGACCACTTGACACCTCTCTAGGTCCAAGCTTGAGTGTGGTTTGCATGTCTACTTTCATCCCATCCTGGAGCAATGTTGCCTTTCCCCAGCTTGAAATTTGCCTATGTCTGGAACAGGTGTGAGGAGCCCGAGGTGGCTGGCTTGGTTGGCAGGCTGGGTGGCCCCTGCCATGGGCTTCTCGTCATTCCATGAATGACTCTAGGGGGACGGCTGTCACTTCGGCAGCATTCTTCCATGAGCCGGCAGCTCCGTGGCATGTGCCTCCTCCCCGCACGGGATATTTGGGCCTTGTTTTCACTCAGATGACTTCCGTCTGATATCACACGTAGCTACCCTGTTGTGGTGGCAACCTGGCGCCTGAGTCACTGGATAGTCCAGTTTCTGGAGCCTTTGCAATTCAGAATTTCTCCCTACTAGTCACATTTAAAATGGTGGAGACAGTGCCAAGGTTGCCTCAGAGATGTTGTAGAAGGGTGAAAGAGAGGAGATTTAACACTGTATATCTGTTGGAGTCTTTTGAATTTTGCACCATATCTATATCTGTTCAAAATACAAATCAATTGATAAAATATGTGAAACGGAGGATATTTATTTCTTCCACACATATGTATGCTGTCATCTGTTCTGTGCCAGGGCCTGTGACGAAGGCCAGGGATACAGCCACGAGCAAGGCGTGGCCCCTGCCCACAAGCTGCTCCCAGTCTCGAGGAAGGCAGCCGGGCAGCAAGCGCAGCCACCCAGTGCGGCCAACTCCACAGCCACAGGTTCTGCATCCAGCAGTAAAGGGTTTGAGCACTTGGCCTCAGCCTTTCTTGCTCTTTCTACTTAGGCAGTTGGACGTTCCCCCGGCAAACATTTGACGACCACATTGTCTGAGATCTTCTAACTAAACCGGCAGATAGAATAGGAGAAAGATGAAGCTCACCACGTCTTTGCGTAGCTAGGCTACTGAAGATGGTCTGGTCCACCCATCACTGAGCACGGGTCCTCTCTCCCTCAGTCCCAGTCCATGTCTCACCTAGAGTGTCCTGCTTTCCTCATTTACTGGGGTTTTCTTTAATCCATTTGGGTTTTTTTTCTTCCTCATCTGCCCTTTCGTTTTCTCAGGACTGTAAGTTAAAAGGGTAACTGGATTCTTTTTTAATTGAGGTAAAATTCACATAACAAACTTAACCAGTTTAAAGTATACCATTAAGTGGCATTTAGTACATTCCTGTTCTGCAACTGTCACCTCTAATGCAAGACATTCTCATCCTGAAAGGAAAGCCCGTGCCTGTTACGCAGCACTCTCCCCCCAGTCCCTGTCAACTACTAATCTGCTGTCTTTCTCTATGGATTTACCTGTTTTGGGTAGTTCATATAAATAGAATTGCTCAGTATGTGACCTCTTCTGTCTGGCTTCTATCACTTAGCATAATGTTATTAGTTTCCCGACATTGTAGCATGATCAGTATTTCATGGCTGCGTGCTATTCCACTGTACGGATGTACCACAGTGGGTTTATCCATCCATCAGTTGATGGACATTTGGGTCGTTTCCATCTTTTGGCTAGTGTGAATAGTGCTGCTGTGAGGGTGACTGGATGTTAAACTTTTTATGTTACCTTTGTTTGGGCCCCACAAATGCTGGTGGCTATCATTGGTGTAGTGGTGTAGTATATTTTCCTGTCTTCATCTCCTGCGCTGTAAGCAGGGCAGTCTTTCTACAACACAGGCATGGGTATGCCACCTTCCTGTTCAGAAACATTCGATGGCTCTGCCCTCCCCCGCTTCTTTTTTTCTCTTTTTATTTTGTTTTATTTTCCTTTCCTCCCATGATGAAACTGACTTCAGTGTTTATCTTTCTGCCATTTACAGCAGTCCTGCATGCTCCTTGAAGAATCAAACAATACATCAAATGTAGAAAATAAAAGTCACTTAGAATCCAGCTATTTTGAGACAGTTGACTACCCATTGACATTTTTAGAGACCATCTTTTCATCCATCTTTATGAATAAATGTATGTACATTATGTGAGTTTTAAGGAATGGGATAATATCGTGTACATTTTATTGTGGGTATTCCCTATGTCTCTTCTCCCCTCCGGTGACACACCACCCATCCCTGTCTCCTCAACCCCAAAACCCAGGTCATCAACTTAGTGTGTCCTGGAGCACTGGCTGTAGTGTCAGAGAGCTTTGCTTTGAGTTCTGGATCTGCCACTTACCAGATTGTGATCCTAGACAAGTCATTAACTTCCTATGCCTCAGTTTCTTCTCCGCTAAAATAGGGATTGTGTACGTATATCTCATATATTTCATGCAGTTGTGAGAGTTATATTTGTTAATCCATGTTATGAGATCCCAGCACATAGAGAGCTCATTAAATGGCAGCTGTGTGCTGCTGCTGCAGTTATTACCGCTGTATACACAGGAGTTACCAGGCACAGGGGAAGCAACAGAGTATACACAAAAGGTCTTTTGCCCTCAAGGTATTTCTAGTCTAGTTATGGAGACCAAATAGAAATGCACAAAAAGGTAACTAAATTAGGGAAGACTTAATAGTGCCAGGCAGGGAAATTGCCAGGTGAATGGAATAGGCCAATTGCACTAGAGTTTGCAGGTTGGGAGTGTCAGTAACAGATTATGAGCAGCTGATATATGAATTGGATCTTCAAGTCCTAATAGGAATTAAATAATCTAAAAGGAGAGAGACACGCTTCATCATCAAGCTCGGTTTTACAAAGGCACCGGGAATCGAGGCTCTGGGGACTGAGGGCTTGTTCTTACAGAGGAGTGGTAGCAGAGGGCGTTGGAAAGATAGCACGGGGGCAGGTTATCAGCACTATGACCCTTAGACAGACTTTGCTGTGTTCCTCGCTGATGATCCAGACATATCACCCTGTGGCAAGTCCTCTTTGCCTCAGAAATGTTGCACAGCTCTTCCTTTACATGGTGGAATCGTTTGTGAACAGAGGAGTTAAAAACCATCAGTCTGCGGTAAAAGAAGAGATCTTCCATCTTCTCACCCTGTCCTTCTCTTGTCCTTAGCTAACATCAGCACTTGCACATCAGTACACAGCATGTTTTCCTTCTCCTTGGCTAACCTGGACCTTAGGCACCAAAAAGGGGTGGGGGTGGGGGGCGTCGTCTGTGCCTCAGCAGCCAGCACGCCTTCTTTCCCCTTGTCACCTGCACCCTCGGGCAGTGGGCGTGGTGTGCAGCATGGTGCAGACCCAGCTTCTTAAGATCTGTGCTTACCACGGAAGCACAACCACCCTTTGGAGAAACTGCCCTTTCTCTCTGTCTTCTGTCGTGCTTACTCAAGGTGGGAGCCTTCTCACCCATCTCAGGACTGGCTGCCTTTGTGGGTACCCACATCATGCTTTTCTTTTCTTCAGGGTGCTGTTCAGCTGGATACTGGGCAAAGAGCATTGTGCAAAGGAGACACAAACCAAAGGTTTATCACATCCGCATTCTGACAGGTTTAAATATATGCACAATGTTTACCCTGTCTCCGGTGCTATACGTTTTCATGTTTTTTAAAAGACTAATTGTGAGCCCTGCTGAAAGGTTTGTGTAGGAAGGAATACTTCTTTTTTTCTCTTCATTTTAAATAGCAGTACTAGTTGGCATGACAACCCTCTCTATTAAAAGTAAAGCAACAGGCACCCCATCCTCTGTTTTTTAGAATGAACCCAAGCTGCTAAGGAGGTTTGTTTCTTGAGTTTGACTATTAATGGCTCCATTTCGACAGAATATTATGGGGTCTTTTTTGAAAGTTGTGT